CACCTTCCCATCCTTGTGGGAGGGGCCACTTTCCCATCTTTGTGGGGGGCCATCTTCCCATCCTCCTGGGGGGGCCACCTTCCCATCTTTGTGGGGTCCACCTTCCCATCCTCATGGGAGGGGCCACCTTCCCATTCTCATGGGGGGCCACCTTCCCATCCTCATGGGAGGGGACAATTTTTTTTAAGTTTATTAAATTATAAAAGTTTCCATTTCCGCCCCTCCTCCCAACACCCTCCCACTTCCCCCACTCCCTCTCCTCCTCCCTCTCCATCCCTAAGAGTAGTCAGGGTTTCCTGCCCTGTGGGAAGTTCAAGTTCCTCCCCAGGGAGGGGACAATCTTCCCATCCTTGGGAGGGGACAATCCTCCTGGGGGGCCACTTTCCCATCCTCATGGGAGGGGACAATCTTCCCATCCTTGTGGGGGGAAAAATCCTCCTGGGGGGGTACCTTCCCATCCTCGTGGAAGGGGACAATCCATCCTCATGGGAGGGGAGGCCACTTGTTCCTTGCATCAATACAAGCCATACACAGCCCAGCCCTGAGTCGTGTGTGCCTGAAACCCATATGTGTGTTTGTTTCTATTCTGGACTTCTAGACATTCCCTAACACATTCAAACTCAGTTTCCCAAGCGATGGCCTTGCCTTACAGAACTTCCAGAAGACTGCAGAATTCTCTACTTTCGTGGTACCAGGACGAGTATTAGGTGCCTGTGACTCTTACCCTTGACAGGCGGCTAGTGTCTCTGAAGAACGGAATTCTAATTTTAAGCCTCTTCCTGCGGTGCAAATTGCCATACTAGACGGCAGAGAGCCAACGGGAAGACATCACCTGTGGGAAGTTTCATGGCCTCCACTTCTCCCACTTCTGCAAGGCCACTTGGACCCGAGTTACTCTGTGAGAGACGATTACTGGAAAAAAAACCGTGACTACCCATCCAGAAATCCTTTGGCCTTTGGTGCACCGGGTGAGAAAAGACACAGGCTCCACCTGAAACTCTCAATCACTCACGCGGTTTCTCCAGAGCTTAAAAAATATCCTCCAGGTAAGACTTCTGAGCGATTAGGCAGCTAGGGACACGACATTTCTATGAAGACAGGGGAAGGGACTGAAAGAAACCCTTCTCAAATCCACAACGATAGTTTGTGCCGGGGCAGCTGTGGTTTATACAGGGCGTCACTTGATGCTGTCTGGGGAGCGTGAGCCAGCCCCGGTGAGCTGAGCGGGATTCCCATCCACTCTGGGTGGCAAACTCACTTGTCCCACTGTGGCTCGACAACAGTCCCAGTTCTAAGGTGGCAACTCAGAGACCTCAGCGCTAGGGTTAAGAACGTGGGCTCTGGGGCACAGAAGTCTGTCTGGGTTGACCGTAGAGGTAAGGTTTGCGTGAGAGACTTGGCAGTTCAGACAAGGGTAAATGTGCCTTCTGAGACTGAATCCGCTACCGTGTCAGGCTCGGGGTCTGTCTCTTGTGCCGGCTGTGAACAGCTCAATGGACTTCAAACTGGCTAATGGGATGAAAGTCTTCTGGAGAATCAGAGTCAGGCGTGAGACAATGAAATTGAAATGGCACCTCACCTGTCCGTGAGTGCCAGCCAGTGGAGAGTCTGGCAAGGCGGCTAGTTCACAGGGCCCTTACATGATCACCACAGGTCTCGTCAAACCCCACGTCCTGTGTTACCCGTGCGCAGGATCCCAATTCCAGTCAGACAGAGAAGAAGCTAATCCAAAAGGTTACATCTCTAATTCTGAGAAACCATCAAATAGATGACAATGTCAGAGACTATTTGGGTTTGTTATTTCCTAACATCATCTCTGGATCTTAAATTATGTACACATTCAGATATATTGATGTAATCCATCGGCTATTCCAAATTTTAATCTTAAATTCCCAGATATTTAAAAAATTACAAATTCAAATAGTTTCGTGTTACACGGACACTCCCCTAAAATTCAGCCCTAAGTATTATTGGCAAACTACATAACGAATTCACTAAGCCTTTTTTTTTTTTTCTTGTGCTTGTAAAATGTGTTTTAAAATTAACCTTGGAGGGGCTGGAGCAATGGCTTGGCTGTTAAAATTAACATTTAAATGATCCGATTTTAAGCAAGGCCACCTACGCTGCTTCTCACCCACACATCTGGTGTTGAACAGTCCAACCTGTCTGTACCAGGAAGCCTTTGTGGTGGGTATCCACTATTAGCGAGGGCACAACACAGGGTCCTGGCGTGTGTAAGCTCACACCTGTGAAGGTGTGAGACACAAAACCAGCTGCCACCTTCCTCTGAAGGACACAGCCATTGGTTGAGTGGTCATCACACTGTCTAAGACCTTCAGAAAGAAGGGGGAGGGCGAAGGGAACGGGACTGGAGGACGGTCAGGAGGCAAGCATGTGATGGGGCCGGAGTGGCGATGTAATAAACACTGAATCAGAAGCCAATGGCACAAGCCACCAAGCGTGTTACCAGAAATGCTTTAATTGTTTAGCCTCTCACAGAACAATCTGACAGACCCATGATTCCTTCCAAAACTAAGCCCGGAAACAGCATCCCGAAAGACTGCCATTGTGTTCACTGTGGCTGCAGGGGCTCGCTGCCGTCGGAGCTGCTTCCTCACAGCGCAGTCTCCGGTGGCTCAGGAGGGCTGCGCGGGCAGGCGCAGCAGTGGGTGCCGCCATGTCAGTCACATACAAACGCAGTCGATATTAGACAGACCACTTAGTGAGGGGTGAACACGGCCATGCACAGCACTGACATGCCTGACACATTACAATATAGCACCAATAACTAAAGCTACAGAAAAGGCAAACCACATTAAGCTGTGGCCAAATCCTGTTAGAACGCTCGTCTATACTGGCAAGACAGTCAGGTGCCAAGATGAACGGAGGCACGTCGTTTCACAGTTTTGTATAAATAAAGCTTTATTTTATGCCTGAGTGTTCTGCCTGCGTGCATGCATGTGTGACACGTGCATGCCTGGTGCCTGCGGAGTCAGAGGGTACCAGATCACCCGGAACTGCCATGCCATGTGGGTGATGGAGACGGAACTCAGGTCCTCTGCAAGGCAGGGAATCCACTGGGCCACCTCTCCCCACACGGCATTCTTTGGATTTTTAAAATCGAGCTCCCTGTAAAGGTGCTGACTGCCCTGAGTAACGTTGCTAAGGAAAGGACCAAGACTCCTAATGTTAAATGTGCCTGTAGAAAGCAGATCCAGGAACACTGACGACTGCTTCAAAGAGATCATTTGAGAGTCAATCTAGAAAGTTCCATGGAGTTTGCAGCTCTCAAGAAATGACAGTGATGACTGCTGTATGTCCCCCTCACCGTGTCTTTCTTTATACAGGACGGCTTCTCGTGTTTTTATCATTGCAGTCCAAAACAAAGACAACAAAAACGAGCCTGCATTTGGTCCTCAGAGAATCAAGCCAGCGGCTCCTTCACAGAATGCTTGCCATAGTCAACCCTTAGACCCATGTCTGCTCCTTTCTTTGGGGTCGAAGCAGTTAGTGGCTCATTTCATGCTGGAGTTTATCATGGGTCAAGAAACAATCATTTTCTCTCTATAAAAAATGAGTAGTATCAAAATCTGTTTTGTGAGAAACCATCGCAAACATATAAAACCAGCTTAAAAAATTAAACCTCAATGTCACAAATGGCTACCTGCTTTCAATTTTAATATATAAAAGTACAAAAATTATAATCTGTCTGCATATAAAATCTTGTGAAAACATGAAATATAGTCTAAGAAATGTTTTAAATAGCTATGATTAAATAGCTAATTGGTCATTATTTTAAAAAGAAAGCAACATAGACAAAAATCGAGGCACCAACACCGTGAGACCAAGGCTGCCGAGGACACAGCCCTGACCCTCCGTCTGAAAATGGTTGTCTACCTGAGTCTCAGGTTGCACCAGGGCTGGCGCACGGCCAAGGCTGCTGAGGACACACCTCTCAAACCCGAACCTCCCAGCATGTTCTAACAACTATTCATCTCATGGAAAGTGGTTTCTGGTCATTAAGTCTGCGGCCCTGGTGCACGATGTCTGCCGCTCAGACCCACGATGCCTTCACAGCACTGAAGACGGAGAAACCTGCTATGTATGACTGAGTCCACCATGCCGGCGCGGGAAGCCGTTATCAGCCCTAACTAGTACCACGCAGAGTGCACTTTAGAAAACACTGCTATCAAGAAACGGAGGGAGAGCAAGGCAGCCTTCTGAGCCAGCTTCACCGCATCAAGAGTGAAGCTAGAACCCGGGGCTGGGACGGTATCTGACCTTGCTTACTGAGCTAAAGGAAAGGTCCCACTGTCCTAACCAAAGTCGTCTTCATTTGGGGCAAGTGGCCATGATTCTTAGAATCCTTAAGCCACCTACGGCACAGTAAGCGGGCTGCCGGAGGCGAGTTCTCGGCACACGTGCTTGTCCTCAGCCGTGCACGCGTTGCCCACGACCACTGAACGGGGATCTTTGCCTTTCACCCCATCCCTCGTTCACACTGAGGTCAGCTTGCAGGTTGACTGTCAGCCTGCAGGCTGAAGAGCTGCTCTTCCAAGAAGGTGCTCCCAAGGCCGTACTGCCTCTCGTGTGTGCTGACTTCCTCGGGGGACAAGTGGCTCGCTCCGAGAACAAAGTCTGCAAACCTGTGGAATTTTAAACGGGGAAGGCGGTCACGGAGGCTTACCTGAAAGACAGCGTGCGGCTCGCTGCACGTCCCCTTTAATGGAACCTGACTGTGTCGGCTGAGGAAGGCATTTCCACCCGGGACAGAGACGGGCTTCTGTGAGTCCACAGACGGCCGTGCAGGGCAAGGGGGAATGTGTGCGGGTTTCTGAGGCCCCACCACGGCTGGATGCATGCAGTCACTCACGCATCTCTTCCCTGCCCTTGGTGACTGCGGTGTGATGTTCATACCTCAGAGTCAATGCCTCACCCCGTCCACCGAGGGCCATATTTCCTCAGGCCTTAGCAGCCCTCCCACAGCTCTGACGTAATGCGTAACCAAGAGAGACGGCTGCTGCTAAGCAGAAATGTGGGGTTTTCACGCCGCTCAGGGCATGAGCCGCGGCCAGGGCAGGGCTTACTTTTTAGGAGTCTGGAGCCTGGAGACAGCCAGCCAGGAAGGGAAGTCGGGCCGGCAGCAGGCACGGCGCAGTTCCTCCAGAGCGCTGGCTGTTTCGGCCTCAGCTTGCTCCCTGTACTCGTCCTCGGTGAGAAGCTTCACCACCGGTTCTGTTGTGAGCCACAGCCTCATTTTCCTAAAACACATGACATCTGGTTGTCATAGTACCGTCCAATCCAATCCTTATGACATGTAAAAATACACATCTTAGACATCAACAGTATTACCTCTGAACTCCTTGTACAGCACCCTATGCTTTCTACCATCCTATGACTGAGGAGCGGGAACACGCAGCATGGGCCTACTGTGCGTTCCACCGCCCTATGACTGAGGAGCGGGAACAGACAGGGGGCCTACTGTGAGTTCCACCGCCCTATGACTGAGGAGGGGGGAATAGGCCTACTGTGCGTTCCACCACCCTATGACTGAGGAGCGGGAACAGGCAGGGGGCCTACTGTGTGTTCCACCGCCCTATGACTGAGGAGCGGGAACAGGCGGGGGCCTACTGTGTGTTCCACTGCCCTGAGGAGTGGGAACAGGCAGGGGGCCTACTGTCTTCTCTGACCATCATAGCAATTTCCTAAGGCTTCTGAGAATCAATTTCTGATTGAGATGTTGAGTATAACTTTTTTTTTAGTGACCCCTAATCATACAACCAGACAAGAAGTCTGGCTTCCGTGCTCTTTGCTTGCTGATTTTCTCAGGCACAAACAGAAACAAGCTTTCAGTATGTGCTTTTATGGAGATCAATGGGGACATCCACGGCTCTCTACAGGAAGCTAGGCCTGTGGGCTATCGCTCCATCTAGTGGCGGAGCCGCCAACGCACAGAGCGAAAGTGCCGCACTGAGGGGGGGGGGATTTATTATTAGTTCGTCTTTGGCTACACGTGCACTAAGAAACCAGAGACTGGATTTTCTTTCCCAGTCAGAAAAGTAAAAAATATCACAATAATATAGCCATCTGTACTTAGGAATTCAAGATGCCAGTAAGGACATAGTCGTGATACAGTTTCAAATAACATTTGTTGTGGAGCCTTAAAAATGTCTGCAATGGCTTCAGATCTACCTCTCACACACACTTCCAAGGGTTAAAAACATACATTTTTTTTTTTTCCTTAAGGGCTGAGATATCTTCCCTTTGAAGGTTCGGCTAATGGTTGATAAGCTGGATTGAGGAACCAGGGACACTGCTTCATTCTCCTCTTCTGAGTACCTGGTTGGGCTTCCTACAGGAAAACCCAGACTCTGGCCCAGAAAACCAGGACACAACCCAGCTTGAGGGTGCACTCATGGCCTGAACTGGCCAATCCCTTCCCAGTCCCATCACGGTCTCATAAGTTACTGTGTAGATGAAGTGGGACATTTATACAAATTGCTCAGCAGCTAATCAAAAGAATAGCTAGTACATATCATTAACATATATGTAATATGTAAGCAGCTTTTTACAAACCAGCGAGTCTGATGCAAACGTCAAGTCATTCTTTCTCTGGTCTATTTAATTCGTAAGTTCCTGCTTTAGTCCCTGGGTTTTCATAGAACTATTCTTTGTTTGTTTGTTTGATTGATTGATTGATTATGTATACAGTGTTCTGTCTGTTTGTATGCTTGCTGGCCAGAAGAGGGCGCCAGATTTCACTACAGATGGCTGTGAGCCACTATGTGGTTGCTGGGAATTGAACTCAGGACCACTGGAAGAGCAGTCAGTGCTCTTAACCTCTGAGCCATCTCTCCAGCCCTCATAGAACTATTCATTGGCAAAATTTAAAGTAGCCACTGTAAAAGTATGCATGGATTGTTACAGAAAGCCCCAAGGATGAATAATGGAGCCACCCAGCCAATGACGAGAGCACACTCGCTACTGGTAAGACAACCAGGTGCCTAAGGGAAGGAAAAAGGAGCTCTACCCAGGATGCCTTGGGCCACAGCCTGGCAAAGATGGTGGCCAGGAGGCTCCACAGTGGCCAGTCTCCTCCTGGAAGAGGGACTTCTGATGATCCCAGAGCAGAGCAAAGATAGAAGCTCCTGGTCTCTGGACCTCCCACTGGTACTGCTGCCTTTCGGGCTGCCATTCCCCCTATCTGGGCGCCCTGCACTGTCACTGATGTCACTGAGGCTTGTGCTCCAGCGGACGCTGCCATACACCACCAGGTCCATCCCCTACCCGTTACCATGGAGTCTCCTTCCTCACAACCGCGTACTAGACATCCGTTAACCCTGTTTACCAGCCTCCATCTCACTCTCCTACGTGTCTGCGTGGACCACAGCCGTGTCTAAGACTGTCTTCTCCTGCAGGGGCCGCCCCGATCACCTACCCCCCACGCCAGACAGCAGATGGGTCTGTCCCACCAGCCAACAACTGCTCGCTGTCGCAAGTATGATTCTCATCTCTCAGGGGTGTTTTCTATTTCTCATCAGATTAACTGCCAACATCTGTACTGTACGGGTTACAGTTGATTTCCCGTCTACACCTGCAGGCTGACCGCAGCATCACTTCTGCACACGGCAACCATCAGCTCCTCCTGATTTTAACGACTGCCTTTGTGGTGGGGCTGCAGAGTTTCCCACAGTCCTCTTGGCCACCCACTGCCTCGCCCCTGCCTGGACCCGAGTGCTTGGATTTACACATTCTGTGCAGGCAGGCATCGGGGAGAACTAATAGAAATGCATTCAGGTTGGCCCCTTACCAGCCCCCATATGAAGAACCAGACTAGAGCCCTCAGTGCAGCCTGTGGCTGCATCCGGCCACAGCACGTCTCACTCACTGCGCCAGCAGCACCGTCGCCTGATGATGGCGCTAGGTAGGGCTTTCTCTCTCGGGAAGCCCTCCACATCTGTCCAAGCTTCACTCTCGGTCATTAAGAGTCAACCAAATAATATCTCTTCCAGAAGTCGTTCACAGAGTAACACCACATCGGTCCCTGAGCAAGCTCTGTTTTCACACCTATGGGATACTTGAGTACGGGGACTGGGGAGGCGGCCCAGTGGTAAGAATGCCAACTGCTCTTCCAGAGGACTGTGGAGCGGTTGTCAGCTCTCACATCAGGTGGCTCACCACTGCCTGCTACTCCAGCGCCAAGGGATATGGCGCCCTCTTCTGGCCATTGGAGGTACTCACAAATATGGCAGGTGTGCCACACACACACAAACACACACGTCTTTTCTCTTAAGGTAGAAGATATATAAATGCATGTCCACATCTGCACACACACACTTCACTTTCACAAGCAGGGCCATCTCAACCTGTGTGCTGGGCACAGATGTACAGACTAAGGAAACACATAACAGTATTGTGTCAGCGGAAGTTACCGTATCTTTCTTTCTGTATTTTCACAAAGTTTAAGCCTTAAACTTAAAACCTAAAACAAAGCCATCCTTTAACAAAATGAGCTGAGTAACTCCTTCCAATCATTTATGATACATTTTCTCCTAACTCTTATCCCATGGCGCATTTAATATCACTACAGCAATCTTGGTTCTAATGAAAAGAAATGTGTGATAAAGAAATTTTAGGCAGGGCCCACGCCATTTTGTTGACTTTAGTGAGGCTCTGACTACTGAGTACTTGGTGTCAGAACTCAATGGAGATGGCAGCAAATGCTTAGAGCTCTTTTTCCTCCTGGGTTTCAGAGCGAAACCTCCAGATTAAACATAATCACCCGTACGCTATAACCCAAAGTATCTCTTAGAACAATAAATAAAACACAGAACTTGAAATGTCAGAGTTGGTAGCAATAGAGAAGATACCCACCACCTCAGATAGCTGAGCGCTCTCAGCAGATAGCGCAGGCTCCGGGAGAACAGGAGGAGGCCCATGATGGCGTAGGCAAACTGAGGCACGGCTGCCCCCATGTAGACCAGGACCAGGGAGAGGAACCGCAGTGTCCACATCAGAAGGCCTCTGCTCCACGCGCTAGTGAGGGGCCCGTGCCAGTAGCAGGCGGCAAAGCTACAGAGCCCAACCACCAGGAAATAGCCTGGGGACACAGAGGAAGAGAGAGAGCGGAAATGTGAGCTGGAGAACCGATGTGGAAAACCTGGCAGAGCCTTGACTGAAAAATAACATCTATCAGAAAACCTTAATTTGAAAAATCAAGAAAAAATAAATTTCCTTTTCCTAGTGAAGGCCGAAAAAAGCGCCTACAGCCATCAGTCCTTGTACTTGAGCTCACAGGCCGACTCTAAGGATGTATCATGATTATCAGTCTGGCTGCATCCACGTGTATGTGGTACCCACAAGGCCAGAAGACGCTGGTGCCCAGGAAGTGGACTAAGGCAGTTGTAAGCTAACCAATCCAGTGCTGGGAACAAACCCAAGGCCTCTGAGACAGCAGCAGGCACTCCAGACCTCTGAGTGGGCGTTCCAGCCCGACAGGCTGACTTGTAATAACTTAAGATACATACTGAAAATTAAGATAACATATAGTCATATCTTTTTTAAGCCGTGTCCTAAGTGGACAAATGGTTCGTGGTTGCTTTGGTCAAAAGTAAGCCATTGGATTTCACACATTGCTATAACCCTTACTTTTCATTTTTCTCTGCACTAAAGGAGAACGTCATTTTACAGAGGAGCCATCAGGTGGCTAGCCACACTCAGTCCATCGCTGGCAACGGGTGACACCCTAGAAGTGCCATCAGATGGGACGTGCATGTGACATCTAATGAGTCCCACTACAAGCGCTCACTTTGTTTCTAAGCAAACCTTGAGATTCAGTTTCTTATCTGCAGTAGATATGGAGGAGAAATAAAAGGACTAAATGATGCCCCAGAATGGGCGCCACAAAAATCCAGAGACTGGACCTTGCACAGGCTGCCTGGCGTGGCTTCTCCAGCACACCCCTGTGATGAAGGGAGTCATGACGGCTAGTGAAGTTAAGGTTATAACTCCGTGGTACACAGACGGCGGCGTACATGCCACCCAGGCACAATTTCTAGCACTAACAACAGCAATTAATACTTATTGGTCATATAGAAAATGCTCTTGTATGTTAGGAGTAAATTATAAATAATTTAATATAATAGGAAAGGAGGCTAAAATAAAGTGTTTAAGAATGAATTGCTTTTGTTTTAGCTACATTGTCCTTGAATGTGAAATCTGATATTAATGGGGCTCCGATTCCCATTATTTCCTAACAAAATCAAAGTTTTTATACCATAAAACAAGGGGATTAAATGGTAATCCTGCTTTCTGTTTCTGAAAAGCCGAGTTTCCATTGGTTACATTTCCACCTTTCAAGCGGAACACGTGAGAGAGAGAGAGGGGGGGGAGGACTGGGGGGTGATGAGGAAGCTCCTCGTGCAGCGCTTACACCAGAGCCTGGATGTGGCTGAGCTCGGCCACGGTTTTGGAGCATTTTCACTCGTCTGATGAATTGTACAAAACACTAAGGTTATAGAGGAAAAGAGTTCAAAATGGGATAAAAACGAACTAAAACACCAACTATGGTAATGAAATAAAGTGTTATTTTTAATTGCTCCTCTCCTTAAATCCTACGAAAATTGAAATGGATGGAGGCGTGTGGGACGTCCTCCGCTGGCACTTCCCGAGCTAGCCAATGACAGGGGGTCCTTCTGTGTCGTTACCTACCTAATACGTACAGTCTGTGTCCACACCACGGCCTCTTCAGGTCTTCCGTCAGCCGGTACCCGACATAAACTGAAGCAAACCAACAACCAATCATTAGCGCCCCAAACGTGCTATACTGTGTGTGGAAGAAAACAGCGACATGATGTATACATATATACATATACATACATATCCATACATATCCATACATACACACACACACACACATTGGCTCATTCACTCTCACAAAAATAGAAGCAAACAAATTCTCTGTTCTAGAAATGCCTAGGTCAAGTCAAAGTGAGGACGTCCCTAATCTTTCTGAGTCTCACGGTTCAGGGCACGGTTCCTCTCACGTAAGAGCGTTAAGGGCATGCAGACTTGGGCCCCACTGCTGGAGCAGAAGCTACATTTTAACAGCCCCCATCCCCAGTTGGCTAACAGTGCATTAAAGTCGGAGAACATTACTGAAAAGTATAAATTGCTGGCATTTAGAGCTTTAATCAAAGTCATTACAGAATTACAATCACGAACTAATATTAATTTATTCTTTGGGGCATTATTTTATATTACTTTGTAAAAAAAATAGATATCGCAGCACTATCACGTAATGCCCCAGAGACTCAGGGTCATTCTCCCAAGATACAGTTCATAAAAGGGCACAAAAATATCACCAAACGATATAATCCTATATCTCACTAATAAACACAAACCGTCTCTTCAGAAACAGACAGACTTTACGGTCCGCTTACACGGCAGAGGCGCACACCTGAATCAGGGTGTGTCCCAGCAGGAGTTCACTTTTATTAACTTTTCAATATCTGTGAGAGCTCGGATCCCACTTTCCACGCATTGGCGTAGAAGATACCTACCTACCTTTGGAATGTGTCTCTTGGCCATCAGAAGGACAAAGACTAGTGTCAGGAACACACCTAACACAGTGCCCGACGAGTAATAGAAAACAGGGCTTCTGTCAAGACAGAGGAGAAGGTCACATCAACACCAAGTGCATTGTGAGTAAAAACAAACAAACAAACAAAAAATCGTAACGCTCAATGTGGCAATAGTAGTCGAAAGTAGTAGAAAGAAAAACTCTAATCACATTCCATACATTTTAAATTGAAATCAGTACTTGAAAGTTTCAGTCAATAGGCTGCCGTTAAATGACTGAGTTACCGTCTATGTTCAGAACGTGATCCAAAATGTATGCCCCTGTCACATGGCAAGCACGTGCCTGAGAGCTTCCCACGAATCCCCAGATACCCACGGATAAACCTTACAGAGGACGAACCCGAGATACCAAGAAGCTAAAGGGCTTTTCCGAGTGTGGGGGCTGCTGGAGGACTCAGGACAGCAGCCCCGGTCAACGGCATCTAGGCTTTCCTCTTCCCACTACAGATCCGACACCCGGTCAGAAAAGCTGGCCGACACCACCACAAGCTCCCGTCCACACCCTCGGGACAAGCTCAGAAGTGAACAAAGCTGAGAACGATGGAGATTATGGGTACGAAGCAGGCCGGGCAGGTTAAGAAGTAAATCCTGGCAAGAGAGTGGCTTTTATAGGAAAGTTACAAGAAACAAAATAGCAGGGCAACATGCATCCAGGAAGCAAGTATCTGTCCCGACCAAAGGGGCCCGGGTAAAGGCAGCAGGCCCCTAGCAGCAAGAACCTTGCTGAGCATGAACCTTGGCATTCACGAGAACGAATCACGTGATGTTGGACGTGTGCTCTGTAATCAACAACACAGGACGAGTCGTACCAGGTTCACATACGTAAACTGATGTACGCAAGCGCACTCTGCACCATGCACGTACCTCCAAAGATTCTACGCTGCCTTCGGCCCTGTCACTGGTAAGTTCCAGGAGAGCCACAGACATGCAGTGGTGTACAAATGCTCAGCACTGAGTCAGAAACAACATTTATACCTTTGAATTAGACCATTACAGATATAAAAACGGGCACTTACTGGCTCAAGGTCTTTGCAGAAAAGAAGAGGAGAAGGCCTGCCACAAACAGAAGGAGTAGCCTGAGGTCCACAGCTGGAAGATAAAAAGGTGCACACACCACAGATATTTTGCGTCAGTCTACAAAGCCGCGGAAAGAACAGGAAAGTCAACATCCCGAGTGTCCAGTCAACGCTAACGACAACGGACTTACTGTGTCGGTCCACGCTCACTATGTAGGTCGACACCCTCCCGATGGGCTTCACGGAGAAGCATACGGTTTCTCCGTATGGACTGAAGACCATGATCAGTCCCTTAAGCTCCTCTGGTGCCCAAAAGTTATGAATCACACATTTGATAAATGATAGAATGGTTTCCGGATGCTGGCAATTACGGCTCCCTGTGATGTACACAATTCTGAGCAGGCCAGGACTGGCGACGGTCACCTACGAAACAGGAACGGGTCAGCCTAGGCAGAATCAAACCTTCCCCTTCACTCAACGCAGGAATGGCTGAGGGAAGAAAACTCCAGTGCACAGGACAGAGATCTGGTCCTCAGTGGCTGGAATGTCACACACCGCATTAGCGAATTGGCTTACAGCTGATTTTTACCAGCTGTGACAGGGCACGGGGCGGTCGTCCCAGCACTTGGGACGCAGAGGCAATGGGTCACAAGTTTGAGCTCGCGCTGAAGTTAGCAACATGGAGGTGCTAGGAACCTTGGGGTGCAAGTCTGAGTGACTGAAGTGGTCGGAGATGGGAGAATGGCAGATACCAGCTTTGGAGAGGGATTTTATTATAGTGAGAAACAGAGAAATGAGAAGAGGTACAGCGAAAGACGGGGGCTTTGTAGGAACCACGCAGCGGGGAGGGAAGTGCCGCTGGGCAGAGGTGGGTGGGAACCACATACCTCCCCCATGGCGGACATTTCCCCACTTGCAGGGAGCTGAGTGTAGGCGCAGGAGCCGACAGGTGGGTGTTGAGAAAAGGGAGAGCACACAGCCGTTTCTGATTCTTTCCATTTCTTTTCTTTTTCTACACGACCTCCATCTTTATTTTTACATTTTTTTAATTGAAAATATTTTTTCCTCATCCAATATATTCCGATATATCCAATATATTTCCAATATATTTCTCCTCAACCAGCCTCTCCCAGATCCTCCCAACCCATCCAAATGCACACCCTTTTTTTTTTCTGATTAGAAAATAAACAGCCTTCCAAAATAAATAAATAATGAAAAAACTCAAAACAAACAGAAAAAAAACCCTAAGAAAGAGACCATGACACACCTTCACACAAATCTCATAAAAACACAGAATCGGAAAACAGGATATATAAGCAAAAGACCTGTAAGAATAAGAATAATAAAAATACCCTATAAAATTATCGTTGAGGTCATTTTGTGTTGCCCCTCTACTGCTGGACATGGGGCCTGCCCTTAAATGTGCTTTGTATACCCAGTGAGACGCCACTGGAGAAAACTGACCCCTCCTGTCCACAGCTGTCAGCTAGAGAGCGTCTCAAGTGAAGACAGGGGTTTGTGCACACTTCCCGCCTGGCTCAGAGCTGTGCAGGCCCTGTGTATCCTGCCACAGTCTCCGTGGGCTCATATGCCCGTCAGTCCTGTTACGTCTAGAAGACCTGTTTCCTTGGTGTTTTCAGCCCCTCTGGCTCTTACGATCTCTCCACCTCCCGTCCCTCAGGGGATATTTTTTCCATTTTTTAATGAAGCAGAGGATCGTCAGCCAAGAATGAGATGGGAGGAGGCGCCAGAGTTGTGAAGCCTTTTGGAGAAGAGCTGAGTGAATGAAGAGGGATGCAAGGGGCGGATTACTGCAGCTTTCACGTCCCGGAAACTCCCGGGAAAAACGTACAAGATGCCGGACATGGCAGCACCAGAAGCCGCATGAGCCCAAACATCTTATTCTCTAGGAAGGGTACAGGCTGACATCATGTCTTGAGACGGGGCACACTACCCCTCAGCCCAGAGCACTCCTTCCCCAGCCAACCCAGCCTTTCTGAATCAACACGTTCCCAGTGAGTGCACTCATCACTTTTAATTACTGCCTCTCTGCGTCCTCAGAGCCGTGGCCCTCAACCTTCCCAGTTCTGCAACCCTTTAATACAATTCCCCGTCTGTCCCTCAAGTTAGCTTTCATCCTGGTACATCAGCTATGAGTCATACAAAATATATCTTTAAATCCCAAAGTGGCGCACTTTAATCTTACATTCTTACGACAGGATACAAACGTAGCCTAACCTGCACCGTCGACCACATGCATGTCCACTGTATTTGCTCTTGACTGTAGCAGTAACAGTCTGACGTAGATGTTTCAATGAAGTCTGCTTCCTTCAGAGATTTACACCTAGGAGCTGAAAGATAAAAAATAAAGTAAACTTAGGGCTTCCTAAGTAATTGTTTTTTTTTTTTAAATGTTCAAAAGGAGGTTGTCATAGTTTGTAGTATTCTATGACCAAAACTTCTTCTACATGGTCATTAGAGACCTTCACTCTTCCCAGCCTAGCAAGTGTCTGTCTGAAGGAAACACACCCTGAGTCAACACGGTAACCATCATACATGTTAGAGAACAGTACTACCATAGCCAGAGTCAGCACTCTTAGGTCACATGTGACCATCATACATGCGCAGAGAACAGCGTGTCTTTGGTCCAAGAGTGGATGGCAAGAGTTATGGGAAAGAAACACCATCAGAAGACTCGAGAAAAAGTTGTAAGCGATAAGACAGTATCAGGACCCAGAGACAACCAACATGAGCGTCATCAGATGAGCGAAGTCACGGGGGCTCAGCTCAGGGGTGAAGAAGCAAGGAGAGAGTGAGCAGATGCAGGAGCCATCGGGACACCTCAGCTGGAGAGAAGCAATGGCCCCATCTACATAAGGAATCCGTACTTCACCCTGAAAGCAGAGGACAGAGGACTTCAGGTAGGTATCAAATGTGGCAGGAAGTGGAGGACGACATCACAAAGGGCTCCCCTCAACCGTCTAGTCAGTTCTGGGCAGGATCGTCACCAGTTACCAAGCAGAGGCACCCACAACGGGAGGAGGCATCTGTCATCTCTAGGCCCCGCAGCGAGGAGAGGACCCAATTTCTCAGGGCGTGAACCAAGGAGGAAGAAGGACAGCAAGAGCTCTCGGGGAGAGAAATTGACACACTTTGGAGAGTCGGTGGATAAGGGAGAGGAAGATGTGAAGGTTTCTGGACGGTGAGCTTCTACCCCATGATTATGGAGAGGTAGGGCTCTGAGAAGAAGGGGAGATTAGTTCAGTTCTGGACAGACTGACATACAGTCAGTTCTCACCGGGTCTAAAGATGGACAGAGAGTTCTACAGCCAAGAAGATCTTTGGCTGGAGCCCAACAGAGACATGTAAGGCCTAGTGTGTTCACAAATAACACTGATATAGCATTCAGCAATGTAATCTGAGGGGGAGGTCCTCTAGTACCTGTGATAAACACGACAAAAGAATTAAAAACGGGGTTCGCTTTCCGAGACCACTGCTGTGTTTGAGTTTGAACCAAGTTCTTTGGAGTCCAAGACAGTGTGTCGAACGTGAAGTGCCTCTCAGAAATAGGAGACCGGAGCAGGGAATACTTGCGGCTACCCAGAGAAATAAGCCCTTCGCCCTATTCAAAGCACAGTTAAGGGAATCCGCAGTGAAACCTGAAATGAAGCTAGACTAAACCCTTACACCAAAGTTCAGTAAGGACGAGGTAACCATCGCTACTAGTGATCATTATACCCAGTTAGAAAACAATGTTGAATCAACTCAATAGGTGCCTGCCTTGGCCTGGAATGTCCTTTGTGACAGGCTGAAGTGAGGACGGGCCTAGTCCTCCCCCCTAAAACAGCCGCACCAAAGCGACAGCTTGGTTATATAAGGACCCAGGATAGTCTACTGTGACGGATGACTCCTTTCCTTGTTCCTCTGAGCACGGTGATGAAATCATCCACCGAGCCAGGGCTGAAAACCTAAGAATCTAGGTCAAGAGCCAGGATCCAGAGCGGTAAGAGGACCTTTGAGAGACTCTGCTAAGCACGGGACACCAGCCGTTAACAATGTAGGGTATACGTAGATGTGAGACCCCCAAAGAAGACAGCGGAACCTGTGCTGTGAACACGTGGGGCAGCCAAGGTGGAGAAATCCATGGGTACAGCCGAGATGGGTACAGCCGAGACGCACACAGTTAAAAGCCAGGGGCAGCGTGCCCAAAGACACAGTCTCAGGACATCGAATGCCGGCAATCAGCTGTAGAAAAGGAGGTCAAAGAATGCCATGCAAAACCAGGAAATGCTCGAGTGGCTGTGAGGACACAGTGGCACACCTTGGGAGCCCTGCCAGTTGAGCCAGAGGACCGAGCAGAAGGTCTCAGGCCCGGCCTTCCCACGTCACAGGCTCTCTACCTCCTGTGAGGTCTCTGGACGGGACCCAGAGCTAAACGGGGCAGCTGGGCCAGAAAACTATGTGCAGTGAACCCTTGAGAAGGGATTCATTTATCACTGGAAAAGAGCAAGTCCCAGCCGGGAAGGTGAAGGGCACGGGGTGGCAGGTTCACAGCCCTAGCGTCCCAGAACTTTAGACAAATGTCCATTCACGGTCTGGCATTTTGTCACCAGGAATGTTCCATGCTATGGGGTCTGGGGGTGTAAGAGGGTTCTTAGAGATGCCTCCAAGGTTCTCCCTGTTAACTCCTCTCCTAGAGAGCCCCATTATTTATGGGCTGAATTAACTTCACAGAAAACTTTGCATCTGTGGTCCGTAGAAGCTTCTCCTGTGAGGACTGAACTTGTAAACAAAGACTGCTATCATGAAGGCTTTCCAACAGACCCCAAGACTGTTTTCTGCTGTGGGACAATGGTCTTTTATCCTGTCACTTGTATTATTTTTAATAAAACGCTGAGTGGCCAGTAGCCAGGCAGGAAGTAGAGACAGGGCGACCAGGCAGGAAGTAGAGGCGGGGCAATGAGAATTCTGGGAAGAGGGAAGTTTCAGTCTGCAGTCTTGATTCAGATGCAGAGGGCGCAAGATGTGACATGCCTCACCGAAGAAGGTACCAAGCCACGTGGCTAACACAGACAAGAATTACGAACTAATAGAAGTTATACGAGTTAATAAGAAGCCTGAGATACTGGGCCAATCAGTTTAGAATTAATGTAGACCTCCGTGTGATTTCTTTGGGACTTAACAACGGTGGGGACCGGGCAGGACAGAAACCTCAGTCAACAGTCTTCTACATCCCTGGCATCCGCAGCTCTTCAGAGCAAGACGGTGTGTGCAAATACAGCGCTGTAGCATGGCTGCGGGCCCAAAGCTTCCATTACGCAAGCATCATTCATTTTGTACTTAAGATTGCCCCAGTTGGTTTCCCTACTTCCAGAACTAACCCCACAATTCCTCCACAACCTTTCTTCCAATAAAACATACAGGCCTTCTATAAATAAAGCATCCCTCAGGGCCTATTATACGCTCCAATCACTTTCGCTAACACTGTGGAAACATCTACCCTCCTTTAGAAAGGCCCAGGTACCTCTATGGCCTCCTCTTCCTCAACCTCTCTCTCGCTTGAGGGCTCCAGCTGTACCAGTCCACTGACTCTCCTCAAAGTACCTGCTTAGCCCTGCCCTGGCAGGGCTAACACCTGTCGATAGCTGGCATGTTTGCCCTGATGCCACCTTTTCCAGAAGGCCTTCTCTGAGCCATGGCAGAACTGCGCTCAGCTGCTTTCTGCCGACGACAGGCTTCACCTCACACGGGAACGTCTTATCTCACTCTCTATGGACTTACTGAATCCCGCAGCGTTCAGGCTCTTGTTGTGTGCACGAGAGTTGCACTCTGAGAGGATTAGAGGATTACCCGAGCAAGTGTAACACGGCCAGCAAAAACAGCCAACTTCCGTGAGGAACTGCCAGTACGAGAGGAGCGGCCCCCGGCCTTTCCTGAAAACCTCCAGCATGTGGTGTCACTCCGTGCTCAGCTGGTACCACGCCACCCACTCCAGAGCCCACACAGCCAGGGAGCCAAGTGTGAGGTCACCAGTGTAGCCTGAACTACAAGACAAGGCTGGCCACACTAAGCGCCTCCGGCTAAGGACCAGCTTCCTTGCTCCTCCTCAGATACTGGAGGCCAAGAAGTGGCAGGAATCTTGGTTTTGACATCAGCGTATGCTGTCTAAGGGACTTCCTGGTTAGAACTTGTTCTGGATTTCCCCTCAGACTTCGGCAGATTAAGGAACATGCAGACGGAATTAATCGCATTCCCCAAGGCCTCAAGCCGAGCTTATGTGAACCAATGAGACAGAGGTCTCATCGCTTTAAATACCATGAAGCTTGCACTGTTCAGCTAATGGGGTGTGGGACTACCATGGTCCTGCCGCTTCTGTGACCTCACTTTCTACCGTCTCCATTACCTTGGGTCAACAGGATCCAAAAGAATTAGCTCAAAGTTTCCAGAAATAAGCAATTGATAAGCTTCAGGTAACTGTTGAGTAGATTGAGAGTACTGACGTATTGTCATTGTCCTAATTTATGCGTCATGGCAGTGAGGGAGGAAAGACACTCACGGAACTCAGAGCTCCGCCATTTCATTCATCAACTGGGGTGTCAGAACGAGTCCCGGAGGGCAAGGGCACACTGCGGTGCACACATAAGGTGTGTGCAGCCTCACGTCACCTGCTTTGTCACTAAGTCAAAAGCAAATGACTCCTCTCCTGCTTTTCCTGCTTAGTAGCCTCCTTAATGTCCACGTATATTGAACTTGAAGAGTTTAGCCAGACATACGGCAAAAATCTTCAGTCAAAACGTTAGGAGCAGGCAGTGCTGAAGCCTACTTCTAGATGCTTCTAAAAAGGAAAAACATAAAACACTGTTCAAGCCCTAGCAGATGCGAAACCACTTCCCATATTAAAAATAATAATAACAATAATTCACTAGCATTCCTCCGGGGACCTAGGCTTCCACAGTTGGGGCACGGACACCACGGCCCCCTGATGACATCAAGAGAGAAACACAGCAGACACTTAAGCACACGGCATTCTTGCATTAAACCTAGACTCGGCTCTTCCAGGACAGGGGGAAAAGCAGGAAAACTGAAAACGTAAAAAGCCAACAAACTGTTCTTGTGGGAGTTCAAATGCAACCAAACAGCCCCAGATGGAGTGCGGATCTTCTTGGTATTTTCGGTACATTCACATTTTTCAAAAGTGTGAGCTCCAGAAGAGACACCTCTCTGCACTAACTCCCCCTTGTTGTTTTTGTTGTTGTTGTTTGTTTTTCAGTTTTTTGAGACAGGGTCTCTGTGTAGCTTTGGAGCCTGTCCTGGAACTAGCTCTTGTAGACCAGGCTGGCCTCGAACTCACAGAGATCCACCTGCCTCTGCCTCCATTTTTTTGTTTGTTTTTTTGATTTTTGTTTTTCGAGACAGGGTTTCTCTGTAGCTTTGGAGCCTGTCCTGGAACTAGCTCTTATAGACCAGGCTGGCCTCGAACTCACAGAGATCCGCCTGCCTCTGCCTCCCAAGTGCTGGGATTAAAGGCGTGCTCCACCACCGTTTGTTGCTCTTAACCTGAATATAAATCTTGGTTTCTAGTCCTCCAGTGACATGAGAAGAGGACAGAACTCAGCACATCCCAGCGCACACATGGTCTGCTCCTCACTTCAGGAGACAATCTGCCCTGTCACAGAACTTCAAACTGTACATCTAAAATGGCCCCTTGTTGGAGAGAAGCCCGGGAAAACCATTTCTGGCCCCTCAGCTGAAGGGCGGAAGTTTCTGTAGACCTGATCTATTGGTTTCAAACTAAGAGTCATGCTTGACTTGACGTTTCTCTTCCTCAGACAACTACCTGTCTCCCGGGGCAAGTGTCTGCCTTTTCTTCAAATAAGGCGACAGAAGGCTGGCCTCAGAGGGGCTGTCCCACGTGCCATGGCAGTGGGCATGTGCTCAAGGCAGGGTCTCAGAGCAGGGGAGGTCCTCGGGGACAATCAGAGGCCAGCCTCCCACGCTCTGGACGGCTCCTACTTTTTGGTAGGCAGGATCACCAGTGTCCCACGACACCGGCTTCACTAGCCGAAGCTGCGGTTTTCTGTGTTCAACCAGGGTCTGGAAACACCGAATGGAAATCATCTCCAAACAATAATATGTAAGTCCAAATAACGGATTCCCCAGCATTTCATTACTACTGCGTTTGTAGCAATTAATTTTCTCTTACTCTACTAAATTTGTCATTAAACTTGAAGGCAACTATGTATCTATAGGAGAAAAAGTATATGTAAGGTTTGATACTAGCTGAGGTTTCAGGTAGCCATTTGCAGTGTTTTTTTCAAAAATACATTTCCTGTGGGTGGGGGCATGTACTGCCTCGCTGTCTCATCCCGGGGTTCCTTGTAAAACCACAGCCTCGACAGTAGCAGCAGCCAACCGAGGGGGCTCTCACAGTGCCTCTGAGCACTCTAGGACAGTGGTCCCCTCCTACATGCATTTAACAACTCTCGGGAGTCGCGCCCGAAGTCGCCATCTTTCTCAGCTGCGGACGAAGGTTTTATCACCTCGTGGGTATCTTACACTTCCCACGCAGGAAAGTCCTGGTGTGTCAGGAAATACCCAATCTGTAAGCCAGGTGTGCCAGCCCCGAAAACCCTTCGCTTGGGAGGTGGAGGCAGGACTGTTGCACACTCGAGGCCAGCCTGGTCTAAGTCAAAATCTCAAGGACCACTGGGGACACAAGGTGCGTCAGGAGCTAGAACCCGTTAGCTACTGTCTCTTTCAGTCTTAGACACCCTACTGACTTTGTCGGTGTGGGGAGTTTATCCAATTAAAAGTCCCACACTTGACAGCCCCCCCCCCGTGAGTCCATGGATGGCTGATGCAATGAGGAATGCAAACAAGCAACCTTTTAACCATGAGCGGTTAAAACAAATGGGGAAATTGTTCGTGGGGAATTGCTGAGTTTGGCAGCTACAACTTTGCAAGCCAGGATCTTCAGCAGCTCAAAGAGCCCGAGCAGCTCCCAGCTGCTTCCTCTGCACGGGGTTCAAGGCTGGCGCATCAGCAGTATTTTGCATATGAACAACCACCCAGGTCACAGCAGCCAATCGGGGACAGAATCCTGGTTTTACTCTGAAGCTTTTACCCTCCTCTAGTTTGGGGTTGCATGAGATTTGTGGAGACGGATAAAATAAGATTTCAGACAAGAGCTGGTGGCAAAGGGCCAGCTGTGCCGGTGCTCGGCAGTGTGTCCTGAACGAATTAAAACGTGAAGCATCCGGATGCTCGCACGCAGGGGGTGGGGACTGGCCGCGCCCACGCGTGACCCTGACGCCCAGAAGGGAGCCCCCCCACCGCCCGGAGTCAGGGTTACCTGCCATCACCGCCTCCTCCTCCTCCTGCACCGCGTCCGCGGGCAGAGTGGCCAGGAGCGGCAGCCAGAGCACCAGCCACCAGGGCC